TAAAATATATGATAACTAAAATAATGTTCATATTTACCACATGACTGGGAGAATAGGAAATGGCATGTCCAAGTCCACTTGGGGGAATCAGCAAAACCTTCCCTCAAAAGATACTGTTTGGGCCAAGACATAAAGGCTGAGTAGCAGTTTGCCCTGAGAACAAAGGAGTATTCTATGCAGAGAGAATTTCACATATAAAGGCATGGGCAGGTAAAAGAATATTACATATTTAACGGACCACAGGTAGTTGCGTGAAGTATAACTTTGAAGAAGAAAGTGGCAGGCAATGACTCTAAAGAGTAAGTAGTGATCAGATCATGAAGACTTTCTATACTTTGCTAACAAGTTTTTATTTTATCCATTAAGTGATGAGGGGCCACTGGAATATTCTGAATAAAGGAGTGACATGGTCAGATGATCGTGTTAGAAAGATCACTCTGGCAGCAATATGGAGGTATCTATAAATTTGATATAAGCGGTAAAGATGTCTACTGGACAACTGGATTCTCAAAAAAACACACCAATGAGATCATTTGCTGTAACACTACTCAGTTTATATGACTGATATCAGAAACTCCCAAGTTCTGATAAAAAGAAAGGAGTATGAGAGGTGGTATATATCATATGATTTGCCATGAGTCAGAACTGACTCGAAGGCAACTAACAACAACATACAGCATGCACTGCACAGAGGCAGAAATTGATATTACGGGGAAGAAAAGGGTAAAGAAAGAGCATGATTAAGACTAACACCAAATTAATTCTTTTGCCTCTTAAACTTAGTCATGTTTACCTTCAACTACTCAAGGGCAAACCGAAACTGAACATAAGATATTTCTGTAATGTGTGGCCCATACAAAAGCAACTTATCTGACATTTATAATATCCACAAACACAGCCTTCACATGATTTGTAAAGATTTTTTTATAATAAGATACACTGCAATTTTTTCCAGAAATACTTACAGGATTGGAATTACTTATTTAGAGCTTTCTGGAATAAGAAAGGTCCCTACCAGAAACTCTTTTCACTTACTGCATCCTCAACCTGCTTTAGCCTTCTAAAACTCAGGCCCAACTTTCTCGTTCTCCATCTATATTACCTCGAACCTTAAATACTCAAAGTAAAACACACTGTTTTTTTAAAAAAGGACGCTTGAGCGGGAAAATATAGCTCTAAGTCTTTTAGCACTTCTTTTAACCTATTCCTCTCCACAGATTTTTCAAGAGGTTCATTAGGGATATGTACTCTCCATCATTACATGTACATCCCCTTGACTTCTTTGTTTAACTGTAAATAATTTCCATCTAACATAAGTTACTATAAAAGATACTATTAAAATAAACCAGTTGATAGTTTTCAGGGTATTACAACAAAGCCTAACTATTTATTTATAAGTACAGCCAGAACACTCCTTAGAAGAGAGGATGGCAAAAGTTCATCTCATATACTTTGGACGTGTTATGAGGAGGAATCAGTCCCTGGAGAAGGACATCATTATTGGTAGAGGGTCAGCAAAAGACAGGACGACCCTCAACAAGATGGACTGATACAGTGGCTGAAACAATGGGCTCAAAATAGCAATCACTGTAGGGATGGCAAGTGACTCGATGGCAGCTAACAACAACATCTCTACAGTGCCTTCTCTCCAAATAATAATAGTATTTGATGACTAGAGGCACATTAAGTAGCTATGACAATGCTGAGTCTCAAGTCATTCACAGAGAAAAAAAGAAACACCCAAATAATTAAACTAGCTTCCGAACTGTTTTACAGCTGTTACCTTGATCAGACCAGTGCAAGAAAATTAAATGTCCACCTGCAACAGCTTGTTTTAGTTCTTTGAAATAGAATCTGGGTATCACATGGGGTTGTTGTGAGTCAGAATCAACTCGACAGCAACTAACAACAACATCAGTAAAAATATTCTAGCTAACATTTATGATACTGTGTAAGTACCCAAACCCAAAACCCACTGCAGTCGGGTCGGTTCCGACTCATAGCAACCTTGTAGGACAGAGAAGAATTGCCCCATAGGGTTTCCAAGACTGTAAATCTTTACAAAAGCAGACTGCCACATCTTTTTTCCATGGAGCGGCTGGTGGGCTTGAACCACCAACCTTTTGGTTAGCAGACAAGCACTGAACCACTGCGACACCAGGGTTCCTTGGGTAAATACTATCCAATATAAGTCAACTAGTGTGCCCAATCAGTGTGTCTCAGAAGTTCAGTTTTAATTCCATTGTAATAGGATATGACAAGAAGAAAATTTTGATGCATTTCTTTCATGCATACTTGTTCTACCATATATTTAATATGTATCAACTATCCCAGTAGTCACCTTCTGGAGTTACTGAACTAGTATACTTACTCCATTCTAGGGTCTACTTCTTTTTCCATTCAAAAAAGGCACACAAAGTCATTTAGAAAATACTGAAAGAGCAAAGATACTTATGGGGAAAGGGGGGTAAAGAGAACTAGTACAGGACAGTCAAGAGTCGATGATGGAAAGGGAAATAATCTAATATTTAACAGTGTTAGTAAATCTTTATTTACAATAAAGATGCAAACCAAAATAGGTTTCATAAGTGAAGTATACTAAAATGAACTACAAATCAATACAAATACAGGGCATGGCGTGAGTCTATGATAATTTTTTAAATATAAGTTTTAGCCATAATCATTATACTGAATTCCCATATCAACAAATGTATATATGTTATATATACACATACTTGTTTGTATGTGTTTGGCTACATGAGACGTGTGATTCACAACCTAATAAGTTTTTGTTGAAAAAAATGGCAGAAACAGTCTAGCTAAAAGAAGAAAATAATTGTTAAAAAAATGTAGGAGGCAATGTCCTATTTCCTAAGCTCTGTGGAAGGTTTATGAGTGTTTCTTCTCCTGGACTGGCACAGAGTCATTACTACTAGCAACAATACTGCACCATCTTCCTGAACATACTGAAAACATTCTTAGCAATTTGAATTAATGAGTAAAATTAGATACCATTAAAATTAGACATCAAATCTGAAACCTAAGTTGAAGGCCTGCAACTCTGAAGAGAATACAGAGACTAGATGATTAATAAATTTACATAACCACTGTATCAAAAATCTGAGGAGAGGAGTTCCCAGAAGTGTAACTATCATTTTCTTCCCTTACACAAGGGGGCAGTGATAACAAGAAAACAGCCGCGCTCTGTGACACCTCTTTCTACAGACAGTAGGGGGTGACAGTACATATGGCTTACAGTCAGAACAAAACAGGAAGACCCAACAGAACTGCTCTTTATTCTCCTCTGGGCTTCTCCTCTCTGCTTTAGTCCCAACAGAGCCTCAAGGTGAGGGACATGGGACTAAAATCCAAAATTAATCACCAAAGAAAATTGTTTTTCCTTTAAATCAAAAATCCTTCAATGGGTGAATTTGGAAACTGGGGGAAGCCAATCAGTATGATTTTCAGATTATCTGGCAAATTACTATAATACAAAACAATATGCAGGCAAGTAATTCAATTTCTCTACAAGCATAACAGAAAACACTAAAATCTCATCCACGATTAAATATATCCTAATGAGCACATCCAGATACTTTTCCTTTTGTTTCATAGTATACAGACACTCAATTACATTTATACTATAAGGTATATTAAGTAGTTCATCAAGCTGTCTTTTGTTACTTCTGAAATTCCAACTATGTTCTGACAATCCTCTCAAAACACAGATATGTTTAAATGGAAGTCACAATGTTTTGCAGCATGTAGATAATTTCACGTGTGTGTGTATACATGTGTGTATATATATACATAGAGAGAAGAGAGAGAGAGAATTTAATATTTTATTTTTGCACTGACATCCCTAAGATGATCTTTTCTACCTGGGAAATGCTGCAAGAAGAGCTCCACTGACAGCATCCATGCTGCTGCTTTTTATGCCACCTTTACTGTATTCATTTTTTTTTTTTTCTTATTTCTCCATCCCAACACCAAGAACATGCAAGAATATTTCACTACTGTCATTCTCTGTAATTAACCATTGCAACAGCTTTTGGCTCCAACCTCTCAAAATGCCTGAAAATTTATCCCTTTTGTTCACCATATTGTTTTCCTCATTCCAGATATTTTCACCTGTGTGAAAACGGAGAAAGGGGAACATACAAAAAATATTTCCTCTTTGCTTAATGATCTTGAACTCATAATTATGCTCAAGATATTTTTTTTTCTTTTCTTTTCCTGAAGAGGAACAGAGAGGAAAGTGAGAGACAACCAAAACACCAAATCTTCTTCCTGATATTAATTATCATTGTTTGTGTTTTGTGAAAACCATTTTAAACATTTCACACCTGGAACAGAAGCTAAGATACAATTCTATCTGTGCTTTCCACGCTGACTGCAAAACCTGGCATTATTTTAGCCCTCTTTTTTCTTTTCCATCTAACAACCTGAAACAATCTGCTTTCTTCTTTCACGTGGGTACTTTCTCTCACAAATAGCTTATCATAGCTCCTCTCGATTTCCTGGGGCAACATATCTAGCAATGAACCCTACTGATCTTTTATCATACTACACCTCCTTCTCTCTCGGAGGAATCAATACCACTAATAACATTCCCATCATGAATTTCCCAGCCACACAAGCCAACCGATCCTGTGCCTCACCTAGCACATTTCAACTACTTTGATGCTACATTCTGGGGGCACATTTGGCAACTCGTTCTACACCACGTTTAGTAATCTGCCTCGCATCTTCTCCTGGGTCCCCGTCATCCGGAGACTCTCTTGGTACCAAATTCCATGACACCTTCGGTGACACCGAAGTGAATGACTCCGGACCCATCTGAAGTCACCCTTAATGCCACCTTCAGAGTCAACCTGCCCCACGCCTTGGACACCGGAGGCACTTCGCTGCCCATGTCCCTATCTCCCTGCTCGCCCCCGCCCCTCTCCCTGAATCCGAGGCGTTGGAGGCGAACGTCCCTGTACCCCCGGGTCTCTTACCTGCCGCGATGAGGGGCTCGCCGCACCTCGGGGTCCAGCCCCCGCCCCCGGGGTCTCCTGTGAGGAGCGCGGCCGCCCGCGATTCCCAGAACACCTCGCTGCGCTTGGACGCCCCCCGGCGGGTCTGCGCCCCGGAAAGGCGCGGCAGGGCCTTCTGGGCGGCAAGCACAGCCCACAGCGTCCTACTGTCAGCGGCGGCACGGAGACAGGTTCTCGCCCCTCAGCTTGCCGCGGCGGCGGCGGCGGGCGCCTCGCTCCGCCTCGCGCGCGGCGCAGCCGGGAGGTGAGCG